TTGATGAGGATGAAATTGGAGCCTTGGATAATGTGGAGTTAGAAGGCTATATTAGCACAGACAATGCTCGGTTGCAGGAAGTCCTGAATGATTACTACAAAGAGAAAGCAAAAAAGTAGGTATTCCCAGAAATCCTGCTTCACATAAGTGGTTGTCTAATCCTGTGTGTATATGGAAAGTTTGAGTATGTTTTTCCAGTTCATGTGCTAAAGATTGCATCCCAGAATAAAAGCAGCTATGTATGAGTATTGCCTATTTTTTTTAATGTCACTGAATGTCAGTCTTAACTTACGAGATGATAAAATTAAGTGGAGGCATTTTGGTGGTTTATGTGAGATTGTGCTCCTTTTGTATAATTGTATTGAATTTAGTGTAAGTAATATCTAGAGGTATTCTTCCTTTCCCTTTTTAGGGTAACTTACCTTTCTCCTTATAGCTTTACTTTTGATTTTAATAGACTGTGTAGCCAAGTATATTCTGTCCTGCTGGTATGCAGCTGATTACACTGTATACCTAGGTACGGGATAAGAAACTCGCAGGTGGCTGTTGGCATGGGTACGACTGTTTGGTGCACGGCAAAAATCAGTGCTTATAAAGCAACGCCGTGTCAATGTATGACTGCGTTTCCACAGTATATTCACTTTGTCTTAAAGCAGGTGATATTATTCCAAAGTTAAACGGCTAAATTTTTTTGTGTTAGACTTGTGTTTCCTGATTGAAAGATAGCATAGAATCATAGAATGGTTTGGTTGGAAGAGACCTTAAAGATCATCTGTTCCAACCCCCCTGCCAGGGGCAGGGACGCCTTCCACCAGACCAGGTGTGTAACGTGTCCCTGGTAGTGAAAGGTGAGTGATCGGTAGCAGAGTACGTAATCCCCTCTAGAGCTGCCTTGCTTACAGACTGCAAAGTGTATCCTCTTCTCTTCCTACCCTTCAGTCACAGATACTGCATGCTACGTACTTTCAGAATGCAGAAATAGTTCTTTTGTCGACTATGTCCTAATGTTTTAGTTTATTTGGGGGATGCTTACTTAAGGAAACAATTTTGCTGCAAGTTTTGTTGGGAATAGCTTGCTTTGGTTTGGGGTTTTACTGAGGGGAGGTTGGGTTTACATAATTACGCATTTTCAAGAAAAGATAAACCTTATTTTTTTTCTTCTCTGGACTTCTTCGAAGTTGTGTGAAATTGGGTAGTCTTGAACCCTGTGAAGATGTAGACTCTCCAGTGAATGAAGACAGTGAGGAAGAAAAGGAAGAAACAGTAGCTGTAGTTATTGAGGAACCAAAAGAAAAGTGGGATTGCGAATCCATTTTGAGTAAGTATTTTGGAGTTTGCTTGTTTGTTCCTAGGATTTCAAAGTAGATGATAAGTGATCTCAGAACTTTTCTAACAGTGATTTAGCTAAAATGGTTTATGCTTCTGGAGCACAAC